AGCAAACCCTAAGGGGCTGTACTCACTATAGAGTACCCCACTGCAGGCTACACAAACAACATATTCTGACACCCCTCCCCTCCCCTCCCCTTCCCATTCCGCACGCCCCTCACCGGCGAGTGCACTCCAGCAAGTGCATCTCAATGCCCTCGTCGTGGTGAGTTGGGCAGCACAATGCCCAACTCACCAAACAGATCTCGCGCAGCCTGTCAGGCACCTTGAGCAGTGCGTGGTGCACACCACCCACCCACCAACGACCCTCACACTCTCACACCAACACGCCAAGCCACCAGCCACTGCTTATCACCGGCTCGCACACCCTCACCCCCACCCGCCCCCCTCGTCCCCATGCCCCTCACCTGAGAATATACTCCACGAAGTTCATCTCGAACAGCTCCTCATCTTCATCCCTCAGCCGTGAGTTCGGCAGCACGATCCCCTCGAAACCACGCCACCCACCACTGCTCTTCCCCTGCCAACTCACCTGCTCGCACGCAGCACTTCACCCTCCCTCTCCCCCACCACTGCCCCCTCCCCCCCCCTCACCTCCTGATGTACTCGACAAAGTTCATTTCGAACAGCTCCTCATCTTCATCTCTCAGCCGCGAGTTCGGCAGCACAATCCCCTCACATATCTTCCGCAGCGTCTCTGCGTCTTTGAACAGCGCATGGTGCACGCTGCGGCTCACAGTCGTGAGGAACCGGATCGCAACGATGGCCAGCGGGTCGCGCCCGGGCCCCAGCCCCTGGGGCGACTGGGGGAGCTTGATGAGCAGCGTCCACACGTCCGTCACGAACGTTGGTAAGAAATCCTTGAATTCTTCTTCATTCTTTTCCATGTAGAGATTGATGTTCTCGCAGATGGCCGCCTTTAGCTGGTCTAATATGCCCTCCTGAAAAGGGTGCAGGGGGGAAGGACGGAGGAGGGTGGGGAAGAGGGGATGAATTGGAGAGGTCAGCAGCAGTTGTCACGATGGCAAGCCTGTCCCACCCCGGACTGGGGGAGCTTGATGAGGAGCGTCCACACGTCCGTAACGAACGTGGGCAGGAAGTCCTTGAACTCCTCCTCGTTCTTCTCCATGTATAGGTTTATGTTCTCGCATATTGCGGCCTTTAGCTGGTCCAATATGCCCTCCTGATATAAGGGACGTAAGGGGGAGGAAGGGAGGAGGTGTGGGGCCGAGAGGAGGAGGAGATGGTGAAACGGGTGGTGGGTTGGGCAGCAGATGGCACGAGGGGAAAGCAAGCAGGGAAGTCTTTAAACTCCTCCTCGTTCTCCATGTACAGATTGATGTTCTCGCATATCGCTGCCTTCAGCTGGTCCAATATTCCCTCCTGAATGGGAGGAGCGGCGGAGGTGGGGTGGAGGAGCGGGGATGAGTAGGGGAGGCAGCAGCAGGCACGAGGGGCAAGCAATCAGGGAAGTCCTTTAACTCCTCCTCGTTCTTCTCCGTGTGAAGGTTGATGTTCTCACATATCGCCACCTTTGGCTGGTCCAAGAATTCCCTCCTGTACGGGGGGAAGGAGGGGAGGGAAGGGGAGGAGGTGGCGGAAAGGGTTTGGGGGGGGGTTTGGGGAATTGGAGGGGGAGGGGAAACGGGGGAATGGTGTGAGGGAGCGACGGACGAGAGGAGAGCGGGAGGGGAGCGAGAGGGGAGCGAGAGGGGAGCGGCGGTGGTAGTACCACAGTAATGCACGGAGATCTAAGCTGCGCTAGAATCTAGAAGCTTCTACACACCTTCTCCGGGTCCTTCTCGTTCAGCAGAGGGTTCTCATAAGTGAGGTACTTATGGAATTCCCCCATCCATTCCTGTAGGTGATCCTCGAACACTTCGGGCAGCTCTTGCGAGTTGAGCGAAAAGAATATCCGGCAGATGAGGCGCTGGCAGTTGAGCAACACGCGGAGCGTGTCCGCCTTGTCCTGATTGGCTGCGATCAGCTGCCCTGTGCTTATAAAGAGGGCGAGCATCGGCGCGACGAAGAGGTCTAAGCAGTACTTAAGCTCCGCGTATAGCTGCGCGGATTTAAACTGGTGCCGGAATCGCTTAAAGATGGAGTTAGCCGTTTCGAGGATTCCGAGGAGGACGCCGTAATCCGTTGAAGGCAGCTTCGATACAAGCTCCGGGAGGAGGTTTTCCCACTTGGCGGGGAAGTCGTGCGTGCTTATAATGGAGAGCGCCTCGCTGATCTGCGCCTGGATCTTGGGCGGCGCGGAGAGCATGAGCGGCACGATGTGCTCCTTAATCTTCGCCTTCTCGTCGTCCTGGTGGGGGGACGGGGAGTAAGGACACGGGAAGACGCAACGAGTCAGGAGGAGAGCGAATCAGGGGATATGTTTATTTAGCTTTTCTTTAGATGTAACGTGCTGCATCAGGTCCTAAGAAACAGACCAACCTCCTTCAGTTCTCGATAATTCCCCACGGATTCCGCAAGGATCGCACAAATTCGGCAATCCCAAGGCAGGCGGAGACGAACGAATCCGCCGGAATGTACATGGATGGGAATATGGCCGAGGGGGTCGTGCTCCGACGGCGCCCAGTGGTACTTGACGAACTGACTTTCGAGTCGACTCAAACGAAGAATCGGCCGCAGCGTACCTGGATGGGAACATGGCCCAAGGGATCATGCTCCGACGGCGCCCAGTGGTACTTGACGAAGTTCTTGAAGTTGACGGCGGCCGGCTGCAGCACCTGCTCATCAACGCCGGGCGTCGCGATCAGCGCCAGCACCGTGATGCCGAACCCCGGCTGCCCCGCCGCCGTCTTGAGGAAATTCTCCGCCTGCTTGCGCGGCTCGGGGTCCGGCGCGAGCGTCTGGAGGAAGCATTGCGCGAGGGATTTGAGGCTCTCCTCTGTCGGCTGCATCTCGACCGTTCGTTTCTAATGCGCGGTGATGAGCGTGAGTGGATCGAGATCGGAAGCTCCTGATCTTGCCACAACTCCTCCGCCGCTCCAGAATGTGCTCGTCGTTCCTTAGGTGGCTCTACCGTCGATTACAATGGAACGGAATGGGTCGGACCAGGGAAACCAGGCTCGCTATTGGACTGGAAAAGACGGGTGCTGCTGTGGTATTCTACGGCTAGGAGACCTCGAATCTGGAATCTGATATCTCATCACCAAGGTCGAGTCTAGACTAGACTCTAGACTCTAGAAGCATGCAGTGTATGAGGAGATTCAAACTGGGTCTGGATTCAGGGGCGTGTTCCAAACCATCCCGGACCCGATGTGAGGTTGCTCAAAACACACCCTCTTAAAAAAGCAGGCTGTCACCTGATTCTCGTTTATAGTTCATGTGTGAGTAGCGGTTGGAGTAGCGACATCGTACAAAGCGTTTACCGAACGGAGCTTACATCCAAGTGGCGCGAATGAACGCTGTCAGTTCTGACAAGTATCCCGTGTTTTCGTTAACTGTTGCAGATCAGATCATTAATACAAGAACTGAGTGAGATACAGTTTCTTGATATCGTTTATATAACAATTTTATCATCTATGCAGAACTATCATGTACTACATCTTATCTATATACATATGTACATGATTTAATACTATAAAATATATTTGCAATCATGAAGAACCGTAATTGAGCCCTAATCTTATTTATAAAATAAAACATTATATTTGATGTGAGCTTTATTTAGAGGAGAGGCGAAAAACTACAGCAAGCTAAGAACATATTATTTCGAAATCATGTTATATAATGCACGCAACACCATTCATTGTCAGCCGAGCAAGCTACAGATTTAGCATGTTTAGCTATATTTGAAATCTCCGTTGTACAATGGTTCAGCTTAGGAAAAAAAGTGTTTCAAACAGTCTCCTTATCCAAACCAGCTCGACTGACACTTTTTCCAAGGCTGCCAGCATCTCGGTTTGCCATCTGGCTTCCGTCCTTGATCCAGTCAGCATTTGCGAACGATCTCAACCACACCCACACAACATGCTGGATCGCAAACATGGTTACTAGCTCGCAGATCTCTCGCTTGCTGCCATGGACAACCGCTTCTGCCTGGGTGTCTGCTTTGGAATCTGCCCCACCGCCATTCCTCCACCCCACACGCATCTTTTTCTTTTGGATTCATATCTCCGTGTCTTCAGGCTAATCTGTCGTCTCGGCTGGTCTGGTCTGGACTTCATTTATAGCTGCTTGAATTCAGCTAGGCTTCCTGTCAAGCTAGCTCCCAAGCACGGTCATTCGAGCTTGATATTTTGGGCTCGTAATTTTCTTTCTATTAAATCCGCGTTCGCGTATTGTAAGATGGCGGCTACCAGCTCAATCGCAGCTGCTGCCATGGCTGCCTCGAGCGCGCCGATGGCTGCAGTCACTCGGACCGTAACGAGCTCGCCGTTCGCCTCGCCAATGCTTCCTCTCGCCAGCCAGCTGGCTTCAGCTGGCCTCTCCGCCGCTCACGCACCCCAGCAGCTGCAGTGCCAGGACCGCGCGAGCAATGTTGGTCGGAGGAGCGTCGCGACACCCGCCAAGTCCACGTGGGTTGCCTAACTGGAACATATACGAATTCTTTCAAAACATTTTTATCCGTAGGCCCGAAACTATGTAGTGGTGAGTTGCTGGCTCACGAAATGGAAGGAAGCGAAGGATTCCGAACAGGATTACCTGATAGCATAATCACTCTAATCCGCCAGCCAAATTATTTCAGACGTGCCAGTGAGAGACAACCACATTGAGACTACCACATTGAGCTCGTCTGGTCACGGCCATGTTCAGAAAAAAAAAGACTTTTAAGTTGACTCAAAGGCCCTCTATTCAGGCGAGTGGACACAAGCGAATGAACAAAGGCTCGACGCCATGTCCAGAAATGGCACAGCTTCTTCAGATGTACCGTTGAGGCCGTTTTCAGCCGACTCGAATGTCACAGCTTGTCGCGGTAACAGCACTCAGCTGTGTTTCAATTCGATGTGCCATTCGTGCTCACGAGCCCGCGTGGCTGGTCCATGCTGGCGGTTTGGATATCCCAACAACTCCACCCACATTGTCCAGCCATGATGTTCCCCGTGCCGTCGTTGCCTCTTACCCCATCCCTCTCACACACCCCCTCTCCCCTCCCCCTCTTCCCCCACCGCGACCCCTCGCCCCCTTGCCCCCACCCCGGCCCCCTGGCCCCCCGGACCCCCGGCCCCCTCCCCCCTCCCTTCCCTCCCCTTCTTTCTCCTCCCTCACTCCCTCTCGCCCTTCCTCCGCTTCCTCCGCGCATCAGCGCGGCGGAGGCGCCGCTGGACGTGCGCGCGTTCAAGGCGGAGCACGGGGAGGCGGAGCTGGAGACGGATCCCGCGCGGCTGTGGGAGCGGTACGTGGCGTGGCTCTACAAGGACGAGGCGCTGGGGCTCGAACTCGACGTCAGCCGCATGGGCGTCACGGACGCCTTTGTCGAGGCGATGGAACCTAAGGTGAGCCTGTGTGTGCGGTGGGCGAGGTGGGCGCGCCTATGGGTGCGGTACGTGGCGCGGCTGTGGGAGCGGTACGTGGCGTGGCTGTACAAGGACGAGCACCTGGGGCTCGAGCTCGACGTCAGCCGCATGGGCGTCACGGACGCTTTTGTTGACGCCATGGAGCCGAAGGTGAGACGCGAGTGGGACAACGAGGCCAAGGCCGGCATTCCAGCCTCTCGCCCATCCGGTATCTCCCTTTTCCATTTTTCCAATCGTCTGCTTACCACCCTCCCTCTCTCCCCTCCCCCCGCCCGCACACCACCCCCCCCTTCCAACCTCCCCCCGTTCCCTCGCTCTGCAGTTCGCGGCGGCGTTCAAGGCGATGGACGAGTTGGAGAAGGGCGCGATCTCAAACCCCGACGAGCGGCGCATGGTGGGGCACTACTGGCTGCGCAAGCCGCAGATCGCCGCCAGCCCCACGCTCAGGAAGGAGATCGAGGAGACCATTGACGCCGTTGACGCCTTCGCCACCGCTGTTGTTAACGGCACGGTGCGTGCGTGGGGTGGGGGAGGGAGTGGATACGGGGTCAGAAGGAGGTTGGTCGGTTTGAAAGGGTGGAAAGGGGTTGGGAAAAGCCTCGAGGAGACCATTGACGCATTCGCCACCGCTGTTGTCAATGGCACGGTGCGTGGGGTGGGGATGGAGGGACGTTGGTGGTCGGTCTGTAAAGGTTGAGAGGGTTTGGGAAGTGCCATGAGGAGCTTCAAGTCTCGAGGAGATTTTGGGATGAGGGAATGGGATTGCCCAAGGCGAGGGGGTGTGGGGGCACTGTTTGCGAGGGCAGCCGTTGCTAGTGGCGTTTGCTAGCGGCAGGTGTTCACTGTCATCAGCTTGTGGCGAGAACGAGGTGGTTTCGTGCCTGTTTTAGCTCACAACATCAACATCCGCATGCTCCATTCCATCCACTCCCTCCCTCCATCCACTCCCTCCCTCCTGTCCTCTCCCATGCCTGCCTGTGCTTACACCCTGGCTTCCTCCCGTTTGCAATCTCCCCCACCACCTCCGTGTCTTCTGTTGATCACCCCCATTAACCCCCCCGTCACAAACTGTCAACAGATAAAGCCTCCCCCGTGCCCAGCCGGCCGGTTCACCCAGGTGCTATCTGTGGGCATTGGAGGCTCGGCGCTCGGCCCTCAATTCGTCTCCGAGGCTCTCGCAGGCACCAATCCTCCGCTCCAGGTACGGTGCCAAGCCAGAGCCACAATTGTACAAGAGGGTCAGGGTGTGTGAGTGGGTGGGTGGCCAGAGCCACACAGCTCCACTCTGTTCTGGCAGTGTCTCAACAAGCCTACAATGACAACAAATTACTGTAAAAAAATCTCAAAATTGTTACAAGCAGTTTCCTCATACGCCTACAACGGCAACGAACAACAGCACAGGCCCACCCCCCTTGTCGCTTCTCAACGTGTTTGTCACCATTGGGAGGAGAAACAGCCAGACTCGGAAAAGAATGCCGTCCGATCGATCTCCTCCCTGTGCACCTCAACTCAGCCCCTCGCCGCACAGACTGTTAGCCACAGCTCTCTCCCTCACGCCCCGCTCATCAACCCCCTCCCTTTCCTTTCCCCTCTCGCTCCTCACCCCCCGCCCTCCTCCCCCTCCCTTTTTCATCAAGCGTGGTCTGTAAACAGCACTGAGCCAACAGGCATCGACCGCCAGCTCCGCGTATCCATCCGATTGTGTCTTCCGCTCGGCCTCTCCTTCCCTTCCTCCTCTCCCCTCCCCTTCTCCCACACCACCCCCCTTTCTCCCCTCCACCCAGGTGCGCTTTGTGGACAACACAGACCCGGCGGGCATCGACCGCCAGCTACTGCTGTCCAATGGCGTCCCCCCTCGCTCTCTCCTCCCTTCCTCTCCCCTCCTCGCTCACCCGTCCACCTCCTTCCCACCAGGTGCGGTTTGTGGACAACACGGACCCAGCGGGCATCGACCGCCAGCTGGACCAGATCGGAGCAGAGCTCTCCTCCACGCTCGTGCTCGTCATCTCCAAGGTGCGCCTTCCCCTTCCCCGCCCACTGCCCACTGCCCTCTCTCTCGGATTTGCGTGTTGTGAGACGTGTCAATAGCTGACTCACCGTCACATGCCTCCTCTCTCCTCCACCCTCGTGCTCGTCATCTCCAAGGTGCCCCACTGTCACCCGCCCTGCCCACTTCCCGCCTCTCTCCCTCCGATCTGCTTGTTATGAGACGTCTCCATAGCTCAATCACGCTCACATGCCCCCCTCCCCTCTCCTCCACGCTCGTGCTCGTCACCTCCAAGGTCCATCCCGGTGCCCTCTCCTCTCCCTCCCACCTGGTTGTGGTGACACGTCTCTAAGCAGCACCATTCTCACATCACATCACACAGCACAGCACAGCACAGCACAGCTCTCTACTATCCAACTGCTCCGCATCTCCACCAAAGTGACCCCACTGCCCCACCCCGCCCCGCCCCACCCCACCCCACCACCACCACCATCAGAGTGACGGCACTCTTGCCTTTCGTCTTGCTCCCTCCCCACCACACACCCTCGTCCATCCCCTCCCCCCCACACACTACCAGAGCGGCGGCGCACCGGAAATGCGCAACGGGCTGCTGGAGGTGCTCAGGGTGTTCCGCGAGAAGGGGCTGGACTTCACAGACTTATCTCTTACATCTCTCTCCCCCCCACCCAACTACCAGAGCGGTGGCACGCCAGAGACGCGCAACGGCTTGCTGGAGGTGCAGAGGGTGTTTCGTGAGAAGGGGCTGGACTTTGCCCGGCAGGGGGTGGCGATCACACAGAGGGGGTCCCTGCTGGACGACACCGCCCGCATGGAGGGGTGGCTCGCCCGCTTCCCCATGTTCGACTGGATCGGCGGACGCACCTCTGAGGTCTCGGCTGTCGGCTTGCTGCCTGCTGCCCTGCAGGTGCGTGCTGCCACGTGCTCTATGGCTGGCAGATGATGAGGCTTTCGCCTCCATGTCTCTGTCTATTCTGTGTATGCATCTTAGATCTGTATGCATGAGCATGTGCATGTACGCGTCTGCATGCCCGTGCGTCCTTATCCATTATTACGAGCGATCCTGGTTACTGTTCTTCTATCCTTGCTGCTATTTATGTGCGTGTGTTCACCCATGGGCACCCACTTCCACCCATCTGTACCCATCCGCACCAATCTGCCCCAATCTGCCCCCATATGCCCCCATATGCCCCCAATGTGCCCCCAATGTGCCCCCAATGTGCCCCATGTGCCCCCCATGTGCCCCCAATGTGCCCCATGTGCCCCCCATGTGCCCCATGTGCCCCCCATGTGCCCCATGTGCCCCCAATGTGCCCCATGTGCCCCCCATGTGCCCCATGTGCCCCCACCTGTATCAGGGCATCAACATCCGTGAGATGCTGCGAGGAGCGGGCGCCATGGATGAGGCAACACGCATTCACAAGGTCAGCACAAGCCATGCCATGCCATGCCATGCCATGATGTGACGTGTCAACTAGTTCAATGCTCAGGTCGTCCAGTAAACATTTCTCATACCTGCCGTGCCCTTGATACTCCATAACACCCGTTCATACACCTTAACACCCTCCATGCCTCCTCAGTCGCATCTCCTCGTCGTCGCTGTCACCTCTTCAACCCATTCCTTCACGTCTTCCTCCTCCCTCACTCCCTCTAACGCACCCCGCCTGCCCCCTCCCCTTCCCTTCCCCTCATCCCCCCATATCTCTCCATCCCTACCCTCCCTGCTCACCCTGCTTCTCGCCTGTCTCAGATCCGCAGCAACCCAGCGGCACTCCTGGCACTCTGCTGGTACTGGGGGTGTGACGGCATCGGTTCCAAGGTGAGCCCTGACTCTCCACAAGACCCTGCATCTCACTTTGTGTCTCAGTTCACATCTCAGCTTGCATGTCAGATTCTGTTCACTACCTCTCCACCGCCCTGCACCACCCTCCACCACCCCTCCACCAACCCTGCGCACCGCTCTGCACCACACAGGATATGGTGGTGCTGCCGCATACGGACAGCCTGCTGATCTCAAACCCATGTGTGATAGCAGCACATGCTGTTGCATCGCAAACTCCTTGCAACCCGTCTGTAACCCCTCTACTCCCCCCGCACACCGCTCTGCACCGCACAGGACATGGTGGTGCTACCGTACAAGGACAGCCTGCTGCTCTTCAGCCGCTACCTGCAGCAGCTGATCATGGAGTCCGTGGGCAAGGAGTTCGACCTTGATGGCAAACGGGTGAGTGAGAGCTTGACATTGCCTGTCGAGGGGATATATGAGCCGACGTCTTGCAAGCCCAGCCCACCTGCAGCAGCTGATCATGGAGCCGATGGGCATGGAGTTTGATCTTGATGGCAATTGGGTGAGTGTGCGCATGTTGTTGCGGCAACTCTCAAGAGTTTACCTTTTGAAAAGCCTCCCTGCCGCGATTTATCATGGAGTTTCCTGTGCTGTGCTGCTCTGTGCTCTCGCCTGTGGCTGCACGCTGTGTGCTGCAGGTGAACTAACGCCTCATAGTGAAGCAACCTCACCTCACCCCTCTCAACTGCATCCCACCCCTTGCGTGCACGCTGGCTGTCCCTACCCACAGGTGAACCAGGGACTGACGGTGTACGGCAACAAGGGCAGCACAGACCAGCACGCGTGAGTGCCTGCTGGACCCGGATGGGTGAGAGTGGGCGGGTGTAAATGTGTGGGGGTGGTTGGGGATGGGCGGATGGGGATGGGTGGGTGGGATTGGTTGGTTGTACTGGTGGGTGGGATGGGAGGGTGGTTGTGGGTGTGGGTGTGGGTGTGGGAGGAGGAGCGCATTCACCACCCCGCTCCCTTCATTCCCTTCCCCCCCGTTCCTCATTCCTCAACCCGTCCCTCTTATTGCAATGCACGCTGCAGACAGACAGCTTCTCTCCAGTTCTCCCTCCACTCCACACCCCCTTCCCCACGCCCCCTTTCCGATGATCCACCCCCCTCCGCATCCCCCTCTCCCCCGTGCGCAGGTACATCCCCCAACCACCGGGTGAGGGAGGGTGTGCCCAACTTCTTCACCCTTTCCCCCTCTAACCCCTGTCCCCATTCCCCACCCGCCCCCCTTTTCGCCCCCCACCCATTCGCCCCTCCCAGCAGCTGCACGAGGGCGTGCTCAACTTCTTTGCCACGTGCATCGAGGTGCTCACAGACAGGCAGACCGGGCGATCAAGAGACTCCATGCTGCCCCCTCCTCCCCCCCTCCCACCCACTCTCTCCACTATCCCCCCTACAGCTACATCCAGCAGCTGAGGGAGGGCGTGCCCAACTTCTTTGCCACGTTCATCGAGGTGCTCTCGGACAGGCAGAGTGGCCGCGACTGGGAGCTGGAGCCGGGGGTCACGTGCGGGGACTACCTCTTCGGCCTGCTGCAGGTGGGGAGGGGGGGACGAGGGGTTGGGGCAGGGGATAGGGTGCATCAGGGGAAGGGGGAAAGCAGGAGTGCATGTGGGATGGAGTTGAGGTGCTCACCGACAGGCAGAGCGGCTTCTAATGGGAGCTGGAGCCGGGGGTCACGTGCGGGGACTACCTCTTTGGCCTGCTGCAGGTGGGCCGGGGGGGGGGGGAAGGGTTGCAGGTGGGAAGGGGGGTGGGGAGGGGAATATGGTGCATGTGGGGAACGGGGAAACAAGTGGTGCATTTGGGATGGGGTTGAGTGAGGTGCTCACAAACCGCGGGGGAACGGGGGAGGGGTCACGTGCAGGGACTATCTTGTCGGCCTGCTGCAGGTGGGGAGGGGGGAAGAGGTGGAGGGAGGGGGGAGGGGAGGGGGAAGGAGAGGAGAGCGGATCCAATACAGTGGCTACCTTGGGCCTGCCTTCTGCCACCTCGGGCACGCGCTCGGCCTCATGCAGGAGCAGACGTGGGAATCCACTCCTCTGACCATCAGGGTCGTGGATACAGCTCTCCCTCACCCCTCTTCCGCCCCCCGCCTGCCGCCCCTCTTGCACCCCCACCAACCCCCTCCCATAGCACGCACTCCGCCGGTACGCGAACAAGCGCGAGGCCACCTGGCTGACCACCGGGGACATTGATGTCAGCTCCTGCTTCCCACCTTCAGTTCCATGTCGCCAATCCCACCTTCCCTTTCCTACTCCTCTGCCTCCCCATCACGGCACGCACTCGGCTCTCTATGCCAAAAAGCTCGAGTCCATCACGGTGACCGTAAAGGGCGTGGATGCAGCAACAGCGAGCGCCATCACGTGCCTTCACACCCTCACCTTCCTTTCCTGTGCCTCTTCCTCCTCCCCCTCCAGGGCACGCGCTCTGCCCTGTACACCAACAAGCGCGAGTCCATCACGCTGACCATAAAGGACGTGGATGCAGCAACGGTGGGCGCCATCATTGCTCTCTATGAGCGCGCCACCGGGCTGTACGCCTCACTCATCAACGTCAACGCGTATCACCAACCAGGTGCGTGCTTGTCATGTTTGCTCCGTGCCACGTGCCCTGTGCCTCGTTCCCCGTATGCCGATACCCCATACCCCATACCCCATGCCCCATACCGCATGCCCCGTGCCCCGTACCCATGCCCATACCCCATGGCCCAAGCCCCATACCCCGTGTGCCATGCCGCATAACCCATACCCCATGCCCCATGCTGCATGCCGCATGCCTCGTGCCCCATGCCCCAATGCGTTGCTGTGCTGGCAGGAGTGGAGGCGGGCAAGAAGGCAGCAGCAGAGGTGCTGTCGCTGCAGAAGAGAGTGCAGGCTGTGATCAATGATGCGAGGTGAGAGTGCAGGCTGGGATGAACGAGGCGAGGTGAGAGGGTAGGGACTCACTCACTTTATGTCGTTGTGATTACCATTGTCGCACTTTCCTGTGCCACACTCGCATTTCTGTTCTCAGCTGCAAGCAGGCTTCACCCTTTAACAATTTCCAAAACTGTCACTCACTCTCGTCTCGTGTTTCTCATTTGTGCCCTTGCCATACACACGTGTCTGTTCTCAGCTGCAAGGACCCAGTGGAAGCTCTTACCATCCCGCAAATCGCCAAGCGTGCTCATGCAGAGGCACAGGTGAGGGTTTAGGGTCTGAATCAGAGTTGGGTGACCAGAGTTACCGTACATTGAGTGGAGAGTCATGGTGAGTGTGGAAAGTCATGTTAGTGGCATCTGCATTCCTTTGTGTGGGGCAAATGTGCGGTCTTACAGGTGCGGAAGTAGCATTAAGAAAGGCATTTGCCACACAATGCACACAGTTGGCATTTACATTGTCTAACAGCATGGCAATCAGGCATGCTCAGCTCGTAAGGTCCTTCAGGTGGGTCGGATTCGCACATGGCATCAGCTTGTTCGTTCTTGTCTGTAATGAAGTGCTTCTGCCTTTGTGTTTGGTCACACCACTGAGATCCCTTGCTTTCAGATTGAGACAGTGTACAAGATCATCCGCCACATGGCAGCCAATGACAGGGCAATTATGATTGGATCTGACATCAACACACTTACGGTGCTTGCGGAAGAATGTCCTCCGGAGTTGTAGCCTGTAGAGATTTGTGCATTCCATTATGCGCTACTGCGCATGACTCCATTAATAGTTGTATGTCGTAGTACCTTGGCCGGGTTGAAGATTGGGGTTTGTCTGTTAGCACACTTGCTTTGAAACACTGTTCAATCATACCCATATCTGAGAGCTACATGCATTCCCTTGTGAAACATGTGGTGGTCCAGAACGTTCAACAGCTGCCAGCATGCCACTTACCGTAGCAGATCCAACCGTGGTCATTATTACTTCATGGCAGGGCAACTTAGTGCTCTTGGCCAAAGAACCTGTGACCAACTGGCACTTTATTAATGATATTTTAGCCGAGCTCCCTAAAATTGGTCAAGTCAAAACGATCTTGAATGAATGGGGTAGTACAATGTAAGTTATTATTCTTTTCATGCAGTGGCTTGTTTCAAGAAAGCAATCAGATCCGCTCGCTCCTGAGGTTTCTTCAGTCCAGGGAAAACCATCTTCGTGCCAGGAATGTACTGCAGAGGAGAAGCGATTGGATGATAGATCAGAACACAAAGGCTTCAAGCTCGATCCATGGATCGGAGACAAAACGAGAACCGTAAGCCAGAACGACAGGTGTGATCATAATGACCAGCAGGAGCCTACCTTCTTAGGGTTCAAAAGGTAGTCATAAAGGGTCTCCTCTCCCCAAAGAACTGCAGCGTTCTTGTTGGCATTTGAGTAAGAGTAACCCTCGATGGTTCCAGACTGCCTGCCGAAAAGACCGGCCAGATTCGGACCTGCGATCGAAAATGCCGAGATGGCTCGCGTAAGGCTCGCGTGTGACCCGACTAAGGTAAAGATAATCGTTCCTTAACCGATCGTCCTACCTTGCTTGTGACCACCACCCTTCTCTGCCACGTGGCACTGAGCGCACTTAGTCTTGAAGATCTTAGCTCCAGCATCGGGGTTACCAGCAGGAGCTTCTGCGAAAGTAGCCATGGCTGAGAAAAAATGGCAACGTGGATCAAACCCACGAAGGACGAAGCCCGAGACTGCCTGACTAAGAAACTCAGGAAACAACGATGCTCCAAGATATAGCAGACAGGTTTGTGAGCAGGGCTGACGATTCAAGGGCAAATGCCCTTAATGCCCTGAACATTAAGGGTTGGGTTTGGCCCAGCTTCCGAATTTTAAGGGTTGGCTTTGAGGGCAGCCCTTTCCCTGCAAAGTGCTGGTTGTGGGCCTAACCCGGATTTCAAGTGCAGATCCCGCGGCTAGCCCTTATCGTCCCATACTAATACCTCCCTCCCTCCCATTCGCTCACCAGTCCCCCCACCTCCTCCCAGCCACTCCCCTACTTCCTTCTCCCACCCCCTCAAATCCATCGACATGTTTCGTACCTCAGCCTATTGCCTAGTTGGCTCTTAGTAGTTTGCCTAGGATACGGTATCCCTGGCGAAGTGCAAAAAAGTTGGTAGCCCTGATTTCAAGTGCCAGGTTTGCTCTCAGCCCGGAAATTTCAGGGCAACTTTTGGGGCACCTCAGCCTCTCAAGTTCTGGCTCCAAACCAATCGACAGCCCTGTTTGTGAGTAGCACACGGAAAGGTAGAAAATGCATGTGTGAAGAGGAGGATGCGTTGTGGAGGAGGAGGCAAAAAGTGTGATCCTCGTTTCAAGCACGTGCTCTGCTCACCTCATTTGGGTTCAACCTCACCAAGCCAGAAAGGATCTGTTGTTCTTCCCGTGCCCAAGGCGAGATGCAGCAAAAGGGCAAGATGATCCCACCAGAGCTGGATTCGGGGTGTTCCTGACCGTCCGATAAAACGGAAGTCTCCCGCAAACCCGGTTGGCAAACCACAGTCCCAATGTTTGCGGCGGAGCTTTGCCAGCGAAGCAGGCGGCGAAGTGTCAAATTGCATCGTCCAATAGGAGACAACTGCGCAACTACTCGCTATTACAGCATTTGAGATTATATATTTATTGTTTCGAGTTATTAGAGGGAGTGAGCACAAAATAAACACTATGGCCCAAGGAGGAACAAATTTTAGTCAAAGCCTTCACAGAAATATACGGAAGAGTCTAGGGATTTGAGCAGTCTGAATGTAATTAAAAGTTCCTTACAAGGGTGGACCCGAACCCTACACAATGGAAAATACAGTGTAACAAAAGTACTATTGCACTAGCTGCTCAATTTACACTGAATTCAGCATATCTAGGTTAATATACAGGGCTTTTCTTAGCTAGCTATATATAACAAAAGGCGGTCATGATAACAACACCAAAAGCTTTAGAGAACGAGGGACCTAAGGAAGAGGACTGTCAGCAGGGAAATAAGCACAGTTCCACGTGTACTGATAGTTGACATAGACGCACTGGCGGGGGCTGGCCGACCAGCAGGAAGAGGGGGCCTTGCACGAGCCAGCACCGCAGGAATTGGCGTAACAGCACATGCATTGGCTGAAGCAGGAGTTGTAGTTGTTGGTGCGCTGAGTGGTTGTACCTCCGAGCGTAGCTGCAGTATCAGTGCACGACTGATCGCAAGCATTGTGCCTGTACGTGCAGCAGGGACCAGTGACATTGCCAACTATAATGGAGCAATCTGAAGGAGCGTCGAAGGGCCATGAGGGGTATGGGCAGATGGCCTGGGTGCAGCCGTAGCCAGAGAGAGGAGCCAGGCCCATGCGGTTGAAGCACGCGCTGACACAACCGCCGACACACGGCACATCTGATATGAGCGGGACTGCGTAGTTACAGAGAGCGTCGCAGTAGGATGGGTAGGTCACCATGTCAGCCCCACACACTTGGAGCGATGCTGCGCAACCACAGTCGACTATACCGATGCGGCCAATACAGGGGATGATCAGCTGCGTGCCAGCAACAAGCGGAGCTGATGCATTCGCGATGAAATTCGCTGCTGCGATGGCGACAGGTGAAATAGAGGTGGACGTGCAGCGGGGGGCGTAGATGGAGGAGATATCGCCGAGGGTTTCGTCGGGGCGGACGGTGTACATAGAGTAGGAGACGTTGGGAGCTCGCTGCATGGTGGCCAGGATGGGTGAGTCAATGCAGACTTGCTGGCCGATGCCGAAGTAGGGTGCCTGGCACTGCAAGGGGGAGATGAAACAGCAAGGGAGAGAGATGTGAGGAGGCTGGCACCAGCATGGGGTGGTACTGGGGGTTGTGAGCGACGGTATGTGTCCGTTTGGGGTGGTACAGAGCGGTATGTGCTTGTATGGGGATGGTATGGTGTGATATGTGAGGCTTCAGAGAAAGAAGCACCTGAATCCCTGGGTTGATGCCTCACCTGGATGCCCGGGTTGATGGCTTGGAACATGGACATGGTGAGGTTGGCTCCATTCCAGATGGAGGGGCATGTGTCGCCCTGCATCACCCGGTACCACCCCGTGCAGTTGATGGTGGTCTGGACACAGGCAAACGGAAATTGGTGGGAAGAGGGGGAGACAGAGATGAGATGGAGAAGAGGCAATGCAAAACAGGAGATAGCCAAACCAGATGATAGACCAAGAGGAGATGATAGAGGAAAGCAGTTTGGGGTGGATGCTGATATTTAATACTTACAGCGGATGATTTGGGTGCCACACATACATAACTCCCGACAATGAGGGGGTTGTTGCAGTTGACTCCTGGGTTGAGGCTGCAGAGAAGCAAAGGAAAGAGAAAATTAGTCAGAAGGAAGGCCGAGAAGGAAGAAAGTCAAGTTGAAAATAGGTGTGGGAGAGAGAGGGAGTACGTCGAAGCCTGAAAAAAAAACCAAGGGCAAATAAGCAAAACTTACGTTACAAAAGACGACGTGCTAATGACGTATTTAGTGGAGAGCGAAGCGCATGTGTCCCCCATGGCCACTGCTACACTTTGCCCACATTGTGTAGCCGAAGATGTAGAGGATGCAGATATCATTTGAAGACATACTTGTTGCGACTTGAACAGGCGCTTGCACGATAGGCCGGGATTGATTGCAACGAGTGCAGTCAGTGAGCCATTGAAGTAAGCGTTCGCGATTGACGAACAGGTATCGGAAGGCCGGACGGTGTATGTGTTAGTGCAATATGAGGATAGGGAAGTGACTACTCCCGATACTGTAAGTGCAATTCCGGGAGGGAGGTACTCTGTAACGGAGCAGTTAATGAAAGTGTTCAAGTTCGTCAGCGTGGTGGTCGAAATTCCGAAAGATGTCGAGACTGCTGTGCAGTTGTCGCCAGGCAGGGTAACATAGGACTTCGCGAGTCCAGCCGCAGGCATGCACGTCGGCGAACCGTCAACAGCAGCGCCGATGGCGTAACCCGTAGTGCACAAGCACGTGTACGTCCCGTCACCCACATCCGTGCACGTTCCGCCAGCGCAGGGATTCACAGCAGCAGTCGTGCAGGGACTTCGCGGCACGCACTTGGACGTGGGCACTCCCAGCATCTCAACCATATTCGCCATCGCGCTGCAGTTGCACCGCGGAACTCCCCCGCTTATGTAACAACTGCCCCCCCCGCACGGGTTGATCATCCCCGCGCACGTCGTACTCGACGTTGTCGTCTTGATCGTAGACGAATCAGTGGTTGAACCAATGAGCAGCGAGGAAGAGTCGGTGATCGTCGGGTCGCTAAACGACGCAACCGTGGCGGAGGTTGTGGTAGTAGTGGTGGTGGTTGTGGTTGTGGTGGTGTCGAGAGAAAGGGTGGAGGAGAAGAGCGACGACGAGAGGTCGTCCACTTTGTTGATTTTCCACTTTCCGCGCTTGTCGGACGAGAAGCGCGCCGGCTGCTGCCCCGATGGGAAGTAGACGGGGTACATGGCGGGGGTTCTGCGCGGAAAATGGGGAAGAGGTGGCATGGCGCGGGGGAGGTGAGCGAATTGGACACAAGTGGGTAGCAAAAGGTATGCTGTTGATAACCGGCAAACCACGACATCAAAGGTTACGCGAGAACTTTCGCCGCGCAATGAAAACAAAGGGAGCGTGACACTTACGAGAGCAGCCCGCATTTCCCGCGCACGTCGGGCGTCATGGCGAGGTACATGTAGCCGTGGTCGCC